TAGCATGGTGAATTACATTTTACCCTAAGAACTGTAGACACAAAGCCTGCGTTCACGCTCTTTTCGGATGTTGATATAAAATTATGACAATAGCCCAATTTCGATATATTGAAATCCAGCCTAAAACAATAGACCTCAGCACGAGGCTCCGGGGAATAAAGCCCACAAACTCTGAGTTATTACCCGGAGCCTCGTACTGAGGTCTATTGTTTTAGGCTGAATTTAAATATATCGAAATTGGTCTATTAATTGGACAAAGACCTGAACAATGCTTTGAGACAACTGTTTATTTATTATTGTTTTATTTATTTATTTTATTTTATTTTATTTGTTATTTTTTTATAGAAATGTTCGTCCACTATACTACTTTCCTGATATTTACTTTCTATAGTAAGTAACTATTTTGTCACCTTGCACATATTGAAATAAATACCTACCACTCGTAATTTCCCGGGGGCTGAATAGGGCTTTCATGGTAATTCAAATAGAATTTCGTTTAAAATGCATACTTGATGACACATTCAGTAATTCTGTTTGACCTATCTTAACGAAATGAAAAGGGCGTTCACTAAAATGACAACAGCCCAGCCCAGGGTGAAATTTTCTAACAACATCATTAATGAGCTATTCGTTAAGAGGTCAAAAAATCGCATCCTTCAATACAAGACCACTCTTCTGTTTTCATACCCGAGGCATGTTTTGTTTTGAATTTATTTACCCGTTCCTTTTTGTCCACGTCAGAAATAAAAAGATGGCCTTGTTTTATTTCACCCAAAGTAAACAACTTCATTGACAAAAATCTGCATCCAGCTTTTGATCTGATCTATTTATTATGATTAATTTTTTTTTTTTTTTTGACCTGATCACATAAAAAAAACACGGTCTTTAATTTCCAATATATATATAGATAGATAAAAAACGTGAAAACCGATTTTCCTTAAAATTTAAATTGCAAATATTAAAGTATGACTTCCAATTTTGTGATTTAAATTGACATGAAARTGATGAAAACTCAATGACCAACTTGGKCCCAGACRAAATAACGTTTTAATAAAATAAGATCTGGTAATCATAATATACTTGGTTCTTAATATATAGAGCGTTAAAAGAACTATTATCGTAGATTTCAATTACGTGAGCGAAGTCATCGCCTCCTGGGTAAATAAAAAATTAAATAACGTTATGAATATTAATCATACTCATTATTTGAAAACCTCTATCTTTCAGAACAAAGGGAAAGCTATCTAAAAGCCGAGCTATTCGTATATTTTAGATGCTAAGGAAATCTCTGATTCTGAGGTTGTATATTTTGAGATCTCTTGCCTATTTTCAGGAATATAATAATGGCGAACGCTACCGAGGATGGACTCAGCTACGAAACAGTACAAAGAATAGCTTGTACAGCTTCTCTTCACGGACAACACTTTTTCTTTTCACTCACAGCTGTAAACATTGTTCTCGCCATCACTGCATCCCTGGGAAATGCCGTGATCCTTGTCGCTCTGCAAAGGGAGACTTCCCTTCATTCGCCATCAAAACTCATGTTTCAAGGCCTGACCGTGACGGACCTCTGTGTCGGTGTTGTTGCACAGCCTCTGTTTATCATTCAGTTCGCGTCAGCAACGTATCATCGATTTCAACTTTGTTTCACCGTTTTGAGCATCAATGACGTCGTTGGCTCGTGCTTAAGTGGAGTGTCCTTGCTCACATTAGCAGCAATTAGTGTAGAAAGACTTATCGCTCTCTCGTTGGGACTGAAATACAGACAAGTTAGAGAAGTGATAACTCTGAATCGAACGCGAGTAGTAGTGATGGCTATTTGGATTCTTAACATTTTTGTCAACAGTTTAAGGCGTTTTTGGAGGTACTTTATAAT